CAAACTCAACCGGAGCAGCTATTGGGTGATAGCTGCGTTCCGAGTGTCTATTAGAATTTCGCTTGGTCTTCTCAAACAAAAAAAACGCCACTTATAGAGAGGTCATTTTAACACGTTGACGACGAGCAATTTTTGACCACATCAAAATGGACTGATGATCTACAGCTGCGGTTTAGACTGTTCAACAGCTACCGCAATACCGTGTGTTCTACATGACAACCATGCCACCAGTGTTATCACTGCATAGAAGTGGCTGAGAACTTTTCGTTTACACATGATAAGTTGATGCACGAAAGTGCTAAAGAACCATTGTCACAATTTTTTGAATGCCCTATACCTACTAGCGGGCTTCCCCGGTACAGGCGGGGTTATTACTCATTGGGAATGAGGATGCCGTATCAGTCGCCGGCATAGTTACTCACTCCACTGCGAGACCCTCCCCTCCCCCCCCCCCCCACTGGGGTATGCCCGAAGGATAGCTGCAAATAAACATACTGTACTCTTGTGGTTGTCATTATGCCGCGCATACTTTGTTTTATTTTTATTTATTTATTGTTACATAGGTTATGTGCAAAATCGGACAACAAAACAAAAACGTAATACAAAAAACAACAGAACAACGCACATTAACAATATCAGAAAAAATAATCAGCCTGAGGTATAAAAGATCAAACGCAGCTTCTTGAATGTAAGTAGCTCTTGATGTTTCTGTTAGAGGTAGATAGCTTAGCCGTCAACATTCCGGTTCTTTACTATACAGTCAAGATCAGGTAAAATCCGTGAAGTAAAAAAGTTTGCTCTGAGTATGGACTTTGCTCTTGGTATAACTACTTTCATACCTCCACCCCGTGTATTAGACATTCTGATAGGAATACGATCATTAACATTCGGTCTACATTCCCGAACATGATCTTATGCGCCATGATCAAATCAAGCGTACGCCTTCTGTGGGCCAATGTTGGAAGTTTGAGGTCCAGATTACATGTTCTTCCATCCGGGATCTGGTCATACATCAAATAGTAGTTCAATAAGTAGTTTTAGCGTAAAGCTATTCTGAACCTTTTCAGGGTAATCAACTGTTTTACCCAAGTAAGGGCTGAAGATGATAGTACCATATTCAAGCACAGGCCTTATGAAAGTCTTAAACGCCTTTAAAAAACCCTCAATTTTGTTGCAGGAGAGCGCTCAAAACATCTCATAGCCTTATCAGCAATGGGCTTACAATGTTCATCGAATATAAGGTCATTTCTAACTAGGAATCTCAGGTCACGTATCGACTGAACTATTTCAAGTTCTTTCCCTCCCATGAAATAATGAAAGTTTCCCTTATTTGGGCCTATATGAAGTTTGTTTCTCTAGGAAAGTGGACAGTTCTCATTTCAGCGACTAGTGGCCGTATTCATCATTTATACCTTGAGGTAAATTCTACCTTCTAGGTTTTATCATTCATTATCAGCAAAAATATTGAGTCGATGCAAAAGTTTTGTCAGTTTTTTCAATCCATCGCCGTTCACGCTAGTATGAAGATAAACAAACACTTCAAAGTGTGTCCGATGCAAAAATACTTCCTCTTTCCAGCCGCTAAACTACCAGTGTGTTTCGTTGCGAGAGTGACGAGATATTTGCCGGAAATTACAACTGCTCGTTTTTACCATGTCCAAATTTGACTAATTTTCAAAATTTTTGTATGGGACTTTCGAAGGAGCACTAATAACCAGCAGATGGGGGCAACCTTTTGCCAACCTATGCAATTTTTTTCTTTTTTCCAACTGCGTTTTCAGATTTTTGCTAAATAATTTTCCAAAAGTCTTGTCTTGTGAAGAAATCGCATAACATGTTATTGAAACAAACACTGCAAAATCTACAGAATACTGAGGTTTTAAAACTCGATTATTACTACCGCTACCACTACAAAGTAAATGAGCGATTTTCGCTTCAAATTATGAAGATTTTGAAACATAGGTTACGTGAGTGCGCACTCCTGAAATTGGGAATTACTGCGATTTTCCCCACAAATTTCGCATGACTCGTCAAAAAAAAGACAAGTGTTAGAAAGAGGAGAAAAAGTTGCATCGACTGGTGACTGAAGTGTTCAACATTTCATGTTCTACGAAGTTAAAAAGGCTGAGTGTAGAATTTGGTCACTTCAAAAAATAAATCGTAGAAATTCGGAAAGACAAGCCGTAGGGCTGCAACAAAAAGCTTCTGTTGGCAAAAAGTTTGCCCTATCTGTTGGCTATTATTGCTCCTCCGAAAGTCTCATATAAAAATTTTGAAAATTAGCGAAATTCGGACGTGGTAAAAGCGAGTGGTTGTAATTTTCAGCAAATATCTCGTCACATTCGCAACGTAACACAATGGTAGTTTAGCAGCTGAAAAGAGGGAGAAATTCTGCATCGGATAGGTTTTGAAGTGTTTGTTTACCTTCATTCTAACGTGTTTGCCGATGAATTGAAAAAACTGACAAAACTTTTGCACCAACCTAATACATTGAGAATTTACCTCAAGTTACTTTTGTGAATACGGGTACTTGCTGATAATGAGTGATAAAACTAGTAGAATTTACCTCAAGGTATCAATGATGAATACGGCTACAGGAAACACCAAACGCATCCTGCAGCTGTCTATAACCACTATCATCCATAACGATTGTGTACAGCTTATAGTGTCGGCAAAAGCAGTGCAACCCACCCTATAAGAAATTGGGATAAGCGGAAGAACATATACTAGGCTGTTGCATAAGTTCTGTCCGATTTGAATTTTTGAGTTTAAAATGTCATAACTTCTTTCAGAGTCAACTTTTTTCCAAGGTCTTAGTTTCTATGTGTTGAGCAGTTTTTTGGCTAAAAAATGCATATTGAGATCTGCGCAAATCTTTGTTAAGGAAGAACCAAAAATGCAAAAACTTCGCAGCGTTTTTCTTCGAATCTGTCTTTTTTGACATGGTAACGCTCCCTTATGAAAATTGATAGGCATCTTTTCTAATAATGGATGGATAGAGAAATTTTCGTAGATTATTTTGCAACATAAAAGAGCCCATAGGGTTTGCGCTGCCGAGAGATTTTCTTGACCGAACGAAAAATTAGCCACTTTTTGACCTCGCTTCAGCACATGTGTGCATGCCTATTTATGAACTACGAACGTTTTACAACTGACGTGAGCGCCGAAAAGGAATTGGTGGATGGGCCCTGTTAGCTCTTGCTTTGCCCTAGCACCTCCAACTTTGAGCTTGTCGATTACTTCTATTCGCAGAAAGTTATTGCTTGTAAAACATCTATACCAAAGATTTATGTTCGAGGATAAATTTCACTAGCAAGACGTATTCTTCATGGGACCGAACTTCTGCATATACTAGCATTCCATACCCTTATTCCGAAGCCAATGAAAGAACCACTTGAAGGGCGCATTGTGGAGATATCCTCGCAAGGACATATTTCTAGGGATAGAACGTACCTCGGCCACTTAGAGATTTTAGGCCTGTGATCTCCGTACACTAAGAATTTTATTGAATTCTGGTATGCTTTAGAAAGCGCAAGGAAAGCACTTTTCAATGATACCAACCGTATCGAATTAGAGATGAAATTCTCTTAGAACAGCTGCTTCAAACATGAGGCAAAAAAATCGGACAGAACTTATGCAACAGCCTAGTATGTAAATGATAGACAATATCGGTGAGAGGGCACCTTCTTGCGGTACTCCACTATTCATTTTTCTAAGTCTGGAGAATGAGTTGTTTATCCGTACTATAAAGATCCTGTTAGCCAGAAAGGCTTTTATCCAAGCAATAATCCGCAAATGTGTACCCGCAGCTTCAATCTTTTGTGAGAGTTTACTATGTGGGACTTTATCAAATGCCTTGGCGAAATCCAAGTAAATAATAACATCCGTACTCAATCCACTTTCTCAATGCAACGTCCATTCATTAAGAGAATGGAGTATAGAGTGGTAGGCCTAGCTTTCTAGAAACCATGCTGCGCAGGCTCAACAACATTGTTATCCTTCAAATGCTTCACTATGCTTTCTTTAGAATCTCAAAGAAATGCGCAAATATTATGTAGTAATACCAATAGGTCTGAAGTTTTGGAGAAGTATGGAGCTGGAGAAACAAAAGACATTCTCCGCCTCTCTGAAACTTTCGCTCTCAACATGATCAAATTTAAAATGCATTCCAAAGGACCAAAAATATCCGCTACTGACGTAGTAGCTGGAGTGGAAGGAAATCGGGAGTCAGGCCTTTGGACTTAGGCCACTTCATCAAAAGTTTGTAGATTTCCTCTTTTGTCGTAAGCATTACATCACTTTCCCCGTTTTTATTTTGAAATACATTTTCAAAAACATTAGCCAAGCATTCCACTTTTTGTCAGCCGTGATGATTGTACCATTATCAGTATGTAAAATCCAGCACACTTTTCTCCTCAAACCTTGAACTGACCATTTTGAAATACAGTGAATTTGCTGCCACTATGTACGATTTAGCTTTCCACAGAAGAGTTCTACTTTTGTAAAGCTTTTCTAAACCTAGCATGCAACCTACAATAAACATCCCTTTGCTCAGCCCCACCATTCTCAACTAAATTGACCCATGCTTGCTGTCTTCTTTTGTCATGTGCACGAATGTGCCTTGGCATGTAGCATCTTGTCATGTTGACTGAGGTCAACGGAACATAAAGTTCAATACAATGATGCAGTATAAGTAAAAACATCTCATATATCTGATCGACTGAGCTTACACTGCCAAAGAGCCATACCACCCGAAACAGATATTCGTGAAATCCCTGTATGTCCGCGTTCTTGAAGTCCCTAGGTTTGAGTTTATATTATTCCTCACACCTTACAAGCAGCAAGTTTTACACCTGAATGAGTGAATGGAACGGTGTGGAATAAGTTAGAAATATAAAGTGTGAGCAATCAGAAGTCAACATGTTATTACGAGAATTGGTGTTCTTACGAAACATGATATTTAGTGTCTTTCTGTGAGAGGTTAATTACTTTTTCGCATCGCTCATGGATAGCAGCGAAGATCACGTCTCCGGTGCGGCTTCGGAGGTAACAAGACTGATTTTTCTGTTGACTACTGTGAACAGATGTTTGCGGAGGAATTAAGCCGTGGGCTAACTCTCGCAAATTCAAGGCCACGCGATTCGGCCATTTGGCAGGCCTCTTCAATGCCAACACTCGCAGATCACAAGCTTGGTGTATCCAAGTTTTGTGAGCCATGAAATGTGCTATTTTCCGTGTGCTCAAATTGAGTTTGCGACGAATAAGCAAATGGAGTATTGCCAAGTCGCGTCGCAACAGATTGCGTGACGTATGCACGGAGCCCTAGACAGTCAGAAACCTGCATTGTTGTTCTTTTGCTTTGTGCGTAGAAGGCATGAAGAAACTCCTATCAAGTGTCCACTTACCGTTAACAGGTATGCGCTGATGCCATCGACGCATGCTTTCTGAGCTTTGTTTACAAAGCTCGATAGCAGCATCGAACTGAGAGAAAATAATGCCGGTAAAACGGAAGCTCGCCAATAGATGACCTTTTGATTATGCTGTGGAGAAGAATGGTTGACTTGCTTTTTATAGTTTGCTCCAATAAGCAATGCATCTGCGACTCCGCGTCTGCACCCTACGGGGAGACGAATAGGCTACTAATTATCGATATAAAGATACAAAAATCAAAACTATCAACAAGACAAATAACTTGTCTTGGAACCAGCGAAACCATTTCATAATTAGGTTGAACTAAGTTTTGCAACTATACTTTCTCTCTTTGTATATGAAGCAATTCAAATTCCGCCATTATGTGGGCTATGACGTAAGCAACAAGCGCAGCTGCAAAAATCTCTTCAAATGCTCTGGTAAAACCTTGGTAAATTGACCGTTTACGCAACCAATTCTTTCTGGCGCCGTTTTTGTAAAACAGTGGACTTTTGATCACTTTTTTGGGCCTTAGTAAATGGTTTGCACATTTACTTACCAAACACGTCCCACGATCCTGCAAAAAGTGGAAATGCGGACCCAATTTCGCAGACCAGAAACAAAGTGGATCCGTTTGTGCGATCAAAGGATCCACTCAACGGATCCATTCGCGCTTTTGCTTGTTAAACTTTCGTGCTGGTAGCATGTGCTGTGCAAAATTTCCCAGGAGGTTGACTGGAACATGCTCTACAAATTTCGTGACAGACAGACATTCACACAGACAGACACAAAAACACGTAAACACTCTTAGCGCGTTATTATAGTAGGATAACAAATTTGAGTGCAACTTGGCGTAGGGGATTATCTGCCATGCTGATCACGAAGGAGTTATGATCGTCTCCACGATTCGTGTAGAGGTGTGTTGCAGACTTTGCCTGATAACACAGGTAAACTTGTTAAACCTCCACGTCATAGCATTGTTTTTTTGTACTCTCTCGCTATCAAAAACCGCCACGCTTTGAACTGGCAAAACCCCGCCTCTACACGAGTCGTGGAGCCGATGATACGTGTGTATGGTAGTGGCTTTTTTGTGAGATTGGTTAGATTCATGGGATAGGTTCTTACTCTAAACAGGAGAGGAGGCATTACCTCAATAAATGAATACATATCCGTGTTTAAAGATCAAGATAATCCCATTATGCGAAGCTTCGGCATTTTCTGAAGTTCCGCAATTTGGTCACTGGCGCTTGTTTCCACGCAATCTTGCGTACAGCGGCTCCCTAAACTTTGAGGGTACCAGGTCTTGACTTGTCTTCGAATTCCATTTCTTTTTTGCCTTGATAAATAAGCCAAACTCCATCAGCAATCATGTACAGTTTCGTATCGTTGTGCTCAATCTAGGTGAATGTAAAGCGTTTTCGAAAAATCTTTGATTTTTTCCGATTGTCATCAAAAGCGAGCAGTTTGTGCCAGTTTGGGCCTACGGAGCAATCTAGGTACCAAAAAGTAAGCACGCCAATATCAAAAAGTTCTGTTACGCTTTTTGATATTGACAAAAATCAAGTTATTAGGTTGTTAACTAGCAATTAGACTCAGCTGCTAGTTAACAACCTACAATTTGATTGTTTGTCTAGACATAATCACCGTAACATACACAGCATACATACACAGCCATGGCCCGTCGAGGTCTGGGGTCAAACTGGACTTCGTTTTTGGGGTGGGAGGATATTGTTTTTTTGTAAGATCCTGGCAGGAGCCCCAAAAAAAATCGACAAACATTTCAGGTTTTACGAGTTGAACCCGTTCTTTTCTCAATGTGCGAATTTCAAACGCAAGACTCAAACAAGCAATTAGCTTGTTTACACCGCACGAACAATCACATGGCATCGTTGGGCTATATGTATACAATATTACTTCAAACAACATTAAAAATTTATGTATCTCAAGACTCGTTCCCGAATTTGCTGGTTTCTAGACCAGCATGAACGCAAATGGGTTGGTCGAGCATATACATCAGAGAGTTTACTAATTTTCGGAACTTTTCGATCTGGACGATAAGAACGCTTAAAAATCTATCACACTGGGTTGTCCCAAAAGTTTTGTCGGTTTTTCATCGTTCAATAAAACCACAGAGCACCAAGCCATGGGCGACCTAGTTATCGTTTAATTCAGAATTTTATCGTTTTTCATACGGTTGTATTTGCTGTCCGATCTACTATGTTTTTGCGGTGTTATCGCCATGGCTTTTTGCGCAGCTCAATAGTGACGCCAGTTTCTTTCCTGAATTCTAAAAATTTTTCTCCTCCCATTTTCAGAGAACGCTAATAGCCATTATGTAGAGCAAATCTTTGGCTTAATTGTTCTCATTTTAGATTACATGAGCCATGTTTAACAAATCCTTAATAATGATTTATTCAAGAAAAACCGCGGCTTTTTGATTAAGTCTATCACGTAGGATTATCGAAACTCCCAAAAAGCTGATCTCAAACCAAAGTAAACTTGGCTATTTTGTATAAATAATGTTTATTAGCAATCAAGCTTCAAAAGCTCTCATGTTTTTGCCGCAATAGCCTGTTTCATGACTTTGCCAAAAACCGAGAGCTCCGAAAAAATAGTTTTTCAAAGCTAAAAACAGCAGGTTAGGAGAATCTAAAAATATTACCGTATAGTCCGAGTGTTTTATTGCACCATATTTGACCCTTTCCGAAACTTTGGAATAAAATTTTCAAAAATTAACCTAACTTTGAGCAAATAAAAATGACGGGTGAAGAATTGTGGCAATCATCAAAAAACCTACAGGATTGTGGCTAGGAAATGTAACCTTAAGAAAGAGAAGGAAAAGCTGCATCGATTGCATTTTGAAACTCATTCAGGTCTTTATTTTGCATTTTTTATAGTGGTTTGAAAAAACCGACAAAACTTTCGGGACAACCCAATATAATGAACACAGGGAATCAAACCAATGCATCTTCTCTTTTTTGACCCCCAAGTTAGCATAAAATTATGCATGATGATATCGCGCTCCAATCACATGCGGCGTCCTTTGGACTGTGTGGTGAAAAATACGACAAATTGTTGAGGCTACAAATTTGGCTAGCTTAAGACGTTTTCGACATGCTGAGCACTAAAATGGTGCCATACTCTGAATAGAGCCTGTAATCAACTCAAAGTATATTTTTTGCTCATTTGTTATATTAGATACCTCTAAATACGCTTTGGTCGCTTTTTCATTGTTATCTTGATTGAATAAGGTTTCTTTACTGATTCTGACGTCAAGGGGACTTCGTAAAATTTTGCCTAATCACGGGGATATCGTTTTCAAAAATGCTCCAAGCCAATGCGTGCCTGGCCCTGTACACAGCTTCTCGACTCCGAAGCCAACTGAAAAGTTTGAGAAAAGCGCCAAAATTTTTTGAAGTTTCGTGAAGAATTGGCAAAGTAGAGCTTTGAAAGTCTGCTTACCGATCGTGTGGCCTATTCATCAACTAGTCCTGAAAGTAAACTCGAGCATTGATGGTATCTTTTACCCCAAAAAGCATAAAACTCGCCTTCGCGAAGCACTGAGTAGGCTTAACTTCCAGGGCTAAACCTACCCTTGAGTGTAAGCTTGTCCTGGAAAGCGATTGATATGTATTCATCAACGACTCCGAGCGTAAAGCTTACCCTTTGCGGTAAAATTTAAACGTGAAAACCAGGAAAACCAAGGTTAAACTGAAAAGAGGACTAAATCAGTATTTTGTAGTTAGCTTTAGGTGTATCTAGTTGTCAAGATAGTTTGATCATGTATCAAACCAATTCTAAATGATATATTGGTGGACTTAAATGTGAATGAAGGAGTTCCATATCACAAAAAATCTTCTGAGTTCTTGGGCTTGATGTGTGGTATATCAGAGCCTTTAGTTGGACATGTACCTTAAAACAAATTTTTTACTTTAATGACTCGACCTAATATAATAGGATGATAGCAACAAACAAAACACGAAAAGAAGCATGGGAAGTTTGAGATAGTGTCTATAAATATGTTCGTTGTCAAAACAGTGTCATAGGAGCGAGTGGTGCATTGAGAGATTACTTGATGTTGGTACGAAATGTCAGAGTGAGTCTAAGCTTGCTCTATGCTAGGGTTGAACTTACCTCACTGAGGCACATTCGTGAATACGGGTTAACACGCTGACGACAACGCTCATTTTTAGGTGTCTGCATTGTGGGACAATGCTTCCACGAATAAGTCGAACATTTTTAGCTGAAATTTCGCAAATCGTCATTTATACTATACTTATACAAATTCTGAAATGCAGCCAAGAGACGTCTAAGTATCTGCTAGGGTTAGAGCGTGAAAGACCTCATGAAACGAATAGACCCAACAACCGTAATCATTTCAACAAAGACGCCGTTACCCACTATGTGGGTCACATCGTCCCACATGGCAGTCATTGCATAACCTACCATGTGGGTCACGTTATCGTCAATGTGTTACTCGCTTTCTGGGGTTTACTCAAAGTCTAAGATTTACCCATACTCAACGTAGCGCCGTGGAAGCGGCTCAGGCTGGTAGATACCCGAACACTAGATGTACTAATAGTTTATCTGTTATGGCTTAAAATAGGAATCAAGCAATACACTAAGGCGATCAAATA